TATTTTTTTTAACTTTAAGATACAAATTTAATTTTTAATTTTCATTAGTAAAATTACCTATATTAGAAAGTTATTTATATTATTAAAATTTTATTTTAATCATAGAAAAATAATTTCTTAATTGTTTGAACATATTATATATATGTAGTAATATGTTTATTGTCATTTTATTTCTTTACATAATATTTTAAAAAATAAAAACTTATGAAATAAAAAAATTCTCATCTCAAATTCAAATAATTCTTATCATTCTATTTTCTAAATTAGACCGCATTTTTAAAATATTATACTATATATTCAAACTTAAACTAACTGCACTCAATTCAGATATTAATCATAGAAAATATTTTCTTTGTTGTTTGAACACATTATATGTTAATGTTGTAATAATATTTTCATTATCATTTTATTTCTTATNAAAAATATTTTCTTAATTGTTTGAACATATTATATCTAAATATTGTAGTAATATTTACGTATAAGATATTCGTTTGCCCGATTTATCAATATTAATATAACTTTATTATTCTTATTTTTAAAATATTTTTTTACTAATTATTTAAGTTTTTTCTTACCTTATAAATAATTTATATACTTTATTTAAGATCTTATTTTGCTGCTTGAATTTATTTAATTTTTAAACTCAATATATCTTTAATAGCTTGAGCAAATTTTAATTTTATTTTATATTTTAACTTACTCTAATGTATAAATAGTCGTAGGTTATCTCAATTACGTCTTTCTATATTTTTTTTATTTTTTCGATTAGAATTTTTAATTAATTTTTACCTCCATATCTCTAGCTAATAAAAAAAAAATCTATGGGTGAATCAATATAGATATAAATATACTTATAAATATAAATTTAAATGTAGATATATAGATTAAATTTGTCTAAGATCTATTTAGATTAAGTATAAGATTCATTAACTACTTCCATTAATTATGTTTCCATTTATGATTCAAATTTTTAATGGTGTCTTTAAATTGCCAAGTGACTTCTTTTTAGCTTGCCACTTGGCTTAACCACATGGTTCACTACTCTCCTTTTAATATAATATAGATAATATTCAAAAAATGCTTTTTTTAGATCGAAGTAATAAACTTGGAAACTAGAATTTGAATCCAAAAGATATCATATGAAATTGCGATTGTTTCTATCTGTCTAGGGCTTGGTATTCAAAGTGGTGTAATATCTATGTTAGCTGTTGATCGAAAGAATCAGCTAATTAATTGATTAATGTGCGCTCAAATGTTTGGAAAAAAAATACACTCAAGTAAAATGACTCAAATACCATTGTTCAGATTTTGAAGATGTTCGTCGAGCCCAAATAAACTCAAATGTGATTGAATTATATACATTATTAGTTTAAATTAGGAGGTTAACTTAATATTCAATATAAAACTTTCTATAATATTAGTTTTTTTTAATTATTGAATTCTTACATTTAAATTCTTTATTACATACATATCACCCATAAAGTAGTCTCAGTAACGATGTATATTAAAAGTTTAATTATATTGTACTAATTAAATAATATAAAATCACAAACTATTTATTAATTAATAATTTGACATATTACTTGTATACATTAAGCTTAAATTATGAATTTTAATATTAAAGTAATCATTGCATAATTAAATAAGCTAACTGAGCTTGAGCTTGATCGAGTCGCGCTTTGATCGAGCTTTATCCTAGTCAAGTCGGATTGAACCAAACTTTGACTGAGATTGAGTCGAGCTCTGACAGTAATAAAGAGGAGTTAAATACAGTCAAGCCGGGCTGAGCCCTGAATCGGCTTGACTCGTTACCAGACCTAAATATGAAGTTGTTTTTAAAAGAAAAAAGATGCTTCTTTTCGGTCATAAATATATCTAAATCATCAAAAACTACAACTAATCAAACACTTGCTCACCTTCTTTTTTTATTACATGCTTGAGAAATTCTGTTTCGTGAGTCATATAATCAACACTATTTGTAAGGTCTCTTTTGATAATGTAACAATCTGATAGGTCGATTTGAGTTTTAACTTTTTGTTTCATGATTGGAGACTTTGAATAGCTTCATTTAATCATTTATGACTTGTGCGTATAGTTCGTCTCGATTTCCAAAAAGTTTAAAAGAGTTTCGGTAAAGAAAAAAAAATTCTAGAGCTTTGATGTTGTTGTAGTTGATCAAGGATAACATTCTTGGTAAATAACCTCGAATTTATGTTTTGACAATTCTAATATGTTCGTATGATGATTTTGGACTTGTATGTATGTTTGGTTGGGGTATCGGTGACCCGAGGCCGTTTTGGTGCTTCTAGTTAAAAGTTGGAATTTGAGTTTTTGAACACTTGAAAACTCTTGAGTTTTGATGCTTGATTCCTGATTTTAGATGTTGATGTTTTGAGCTTTCGAGCGAGTTTGTATAAGGTTTATAGACACTTGTTGGGATGTTTGAACTGGGTCCGGGAGGCTCGAGTGAGTTTTGGATTGGTTTCAGGCATTTTCTATGAATTTTGCTATTGCTGGTGCTGTAGGTATCGCACATGCACTAGTCAGGTGCACAAGTATGAAGTCTACCATGTGAGGTTTGCTTCGCATCTACATGAATGGTGGAGTTCAGTGAGGTATCGCACCTCCGATGTGTGTAGACGCGAAGCCGCATCTGCGAAGGGGCTCTAGGATGGGGAGTGTCGTGTTTGCGAGCCACGGATCGTGAATGCGATGGTCGCACCTGCGAAGGGTAGGCCGCTTCTACAACACTGCACCAATGCAGGCTCGCACCTGCGAGCCATTTTATCGTGCCTACGGGGTCGCTTTTGAAAGGCTTTTCTCGTACATACAACATCTGGAGCTAGGAAAAGAGGTAGGGCTTCTAGCTTTAGCTTATTTTACTCTATTTTTGAGATCTAGATTTCACGTAGCGGAAACTTTTGAAAAGTTTTTCATCCTAACATCTAAAATTAGCAATTTTAACTTAGTATTAATTTATTACCATGATTTTTCATAGATTTTCACCATTAAATCTAGTTATGTTAAGTGTAGAAATTGAGTTTTTGGGGTAAAATTTAAGTAAGCTAATTTTGGAACTTTGGACCTCGATTTGAGGTCCGATTTTAATACAAATTATATATTTGAACTCGAAATATAATGGGTAATCGAGATTTGATCTTTATTTCAGATTTTAACTAAGTGGGCCTAACTTTTTATTGGCCTATCCAAATATGAAAAAGATTGAACCTTTTTGATACTATGATAGTTTCTAAAATTTATTTTGGCTTATTGAGTAATATTTGGCTAGATTCGAGTTGTTTGGAGGCTTGTACTAAAGGAAAAGCGGTATTGTAGAATTAATTTGTTATGAAAAGATGTAAGTGCCTTAATTAACCATGATTTGAGGGAATTAAGATATCATTGAGCTATTTGCTTATATGTGTTCGAGGCGGCATATGTGCATGGTGATAAGTGTATATGCATTGTCACGGGTTAAAGCATGCAGATTGAATTAGGTTTAACGATGTCTTTGTTTATTTCTTGTATTATTCATTCATGTTACATTAGATTGTGCTACTGTTTGATCATTCACACGTTAGTGACCATGTTTGGGCACTTGTTGAGATATATTAGTAGGATTAATCCATGGAAATATTGATTTACTTATGTCACCTTAGTCATGATTATTTTTTCCTTAATAAACCATGCTTAACCATTCTATTTGATATTAAATTATGCGCTTTGCCATTTTGGTTGCTTGTTGGGTGTTTTCATTTAAATTGATATGTTGGATTGGGTTTCTTGCTGTAATATTATTATAATAAGACCAGGTTGCTCGCCGCAATAATATGATCATTCGTTTGGTTTGTGTGTCGCAAAAATATTGTGTTAGACCGGGTTGTTTTCCACAACAAATAGGATGTTGTCACGATTCAAATCCTACCATAGGGGTCGTGATGACACCTGGTCTCTAAAACTAGGCAAGACGATCGCTTATCAATTTTTAAATCAATGAAGACATGATATAGTGAAATAGAGTTTAACATAAATTCAGAAATAAAAGTAATACATGCCAACACGATGAAAATCACAACACACTTCCAGAACTATGTGATACAGAGTCATGAGC